GGGCTGGTATAAAAAGGGCTGTGAGCTAGGAGGCAGGCAGTCTCACTCCAGCCTTGGGGTGGGAAGGACTGGGCTGCGTGGGAGCACAGGATACCTTCAATAAAGCAGTGCTGGGGAAGAGGCAGGCTGAGTTGGGGAGCTCAAGCCTGGCAACCTCCCAGGCTGAGGCCTGACAGGAAGGTCTAAGGAAGTACTGGGGCTGCAGGGAAAGGCAGCAGGTCTAACCCCCTAGCCAGTGATGAGTGGCCATCTGAGTAAAGGGGCTAAATGAGGACTGGCAGTGGATCACTGACGTGAGGTGGGCTCAGGGGAGTGGGGTTCCCTGGGTGAGGGGCAGCACCCCAAGGTAAGGGGCACCGTGGTCCAGGAGGGACGTGGGGCCTATACGTGGTGAAGATAAAGGGACTGCAGAGAGGTAGGTAACAGAGGACGAGACACCGGCCCATAGAGGACGCTCCAGGGCTGAGAGCTAATTCCCAGACGACCAGCAGGAGGCACTGCCGGTGAGTCAGCGATCTGCTACAGTAGAATACTGGGAGAAAGATGTCCTGGTTGATGTGAAACTGTGATACAACCTTTGGGAGGAAAGCAGGGTGAGGCCTGAGCTGAATCTTGTCCTCATAGAACACGGTGTAAGGAGGCTCTGACGTTAGGGCCTTGAGCTCACATACCCTCCTGGCAGAGGTTATCGCTACCAGGAATGCCACCTTATAAGACAGGTACAAGCAAGGAGCATGTGGCCAACGGTTCAAAGGGTGGTCCTATGAGCTTAGAGAGGACCAGGTTGAGGTCCCAGGTGGGGACCGGCTGACGGATGTGGGGGTATAGCTTGTCAAGCCCTTTTAAAAATTGGCTGATCATAGGATTAGCAAACACTGAGTGGTCACCCCGCGCCCGGATGGAAGGCCGATATGGCAGCTAAGTGCACTCTTATTGAGGACAACAAAAGCCCCCGCTGCTTCAGATGGAAGAGGTAATCCAGAATGAGCAGCACTGAGGCTAGTGTCGGGCATGAATAGTGCTGCGCCGACCAGACTGAAAATTTCTTCCACTTGGCAAGGTAGGTGGCTCTAGTAGAGGGTTTCCTGCTGCCAAGGAGACTTAGTCGAACCTGTTCTGGACAGGAAATCTCCATTGGGTTCAACCATGGAGCTTCCACACTGTGAGGTGAAGCAACACAAGGTTCGGATGTTGAAGACGACAGTGATCTTGCATCGGAAGGTCTGGGAAGAGTGGAAGGGTGACCAAGGCTTCCATGGACATGTCTAGGAGAGAGGTGTACCAGTGCTGACGGGGCCAGGCTGGTGCTGTCAATATGACCTGAACTCGTTCCCTCCGGATCTTGAGGAGTACCTTATGAATGAGCAGTATGGGCGGAAAGGAGATGGCCTTCCCATGGAAGGAGGAATGTGTCCGCTCTGAAACCTAGGCTGTGATTCTGGAAGAAGCAGAACTGCTGGCACTTTGTTGTGTCGCATGGCAAATAGGTCTATCTGGGGAAAGCCCCACCTCTGGAAGATTGAAAATGCGATGTCCAGGCGAAGGGACCACTTGTGGACTTGAAACGACCTGCTGTGGTGGTCTGCTAGCTCATTTTGTACGTACACAGATGTCCCTTCAATCGTCCTGATAGATCTTGATGAAAAGTTCACAGAGGTACTCTGTAATCCTCAGCCAAATGTTTTAGAGAGGAATGCCTTATTTCTTCCTCCATAGTAGGACACTTTCCCAGCCATTCACCAGCAACTTCAGCAGGCACCATTGCAGTACACAAGCTAGTAGCATATGGACCCAGGTGGCTTCGGGCTGCCAGCAGCAGCTGTGTTCGCTCTGCCTGTGTTACCTTCAGGAGTGCTATATCAGCTAAAATCACCACTGCCTGTGGGAAATGGCACCAATATTCACTGCCTTCTACTACTAGAATCATGCAAGCCAGCAATTTCCTCATTTCCCCAACTCCTGGTGGGCCATACTCACCCAGGCTCATGCTGTGACTGGCACAGTACACAGGCAATTCCAAGCAGATGTGAGAATGTAGTCTTAAAACTTTAGGGGAACAAAGGGAGCAAGTTCAGCATCTTAAGTTTGTTTCTATAGTGAATACGTTGACAATTGACCTCTGTGTTTTATCTTCAGCTGCTGTCGCTGCAGCCTCCAGGGTCTCTCCCTCTGCACCTCTGGGACACCTGAGCCAGTAAGGAGAAAAGGGGACTTGGGATGACCCGTTCAATGAGATCTGCATGCCCATGCTGCATTGAACAATGAACACAGGGCCTGAATGATGAATACTGAGCAGAAGGAAAGAGTGGACAGGAGAAAGGCCCAGGAGTCCCAGCAGAAGAAGGAAATGCACCAGGACATAAGGGGACTTTTCAGGCAGCAAAGACAGATGCAGTAAACTCTGGTGGACTTACAGGTCCAACAATCCTAGGCTTGTGTCCCTCTGCAGCCCATTGAGAACTCAATCAGGATCACCCTATTTCCTGCTCTCCCCACCCCAACATTTCACATGGCATCAGAGATCACTGCACTATCCCTATCACTGCTCCCTGCGGGCCATTAAAGACAATTACAGCTTCACATGAACTGTGGCTTCCATATGGCAGTGTGTGTATATGTGTAAATGAAACAGACATGAATATCATTTCCGTTTCATAAGCTCTGTTCTTAATGTATTCAGTTGTTAATTTTTTTAATGTATTTGTTTTAAAATTGCCCATTTCTTGCACTGATTTCGTTACATAATACAACTCTATTATTTGGAACATAAAATTCAACTTTATTAATTCACAACATATGCTGCCAAGGGATCAGCAGTTCTGAACATTATCAATTAGCCGTTATTGCATAGTGTCACACAACTCATAGGATCATTTACAAACAAAATTACTAGGTGCATTGACATACAGCAGTCACCACATGACTCCTACCAGGCCACCAAAAAACATGGCCAGGTATAGAACACTACAAAATGCTGGCTCGTTGTTAAAATGGTCTTTCAAAGGCTCTGAGCCGTATACCTCTAAGTTGAGCTCTTTTAAGGACCCTGGTATCCAGGGCTGGCTTTAGGCTGATTCCCCGGAATCAGGCCCCGTGCCTAAGAGGGCCCTGCACCTTAGGCGCCTTTTTAATTTTTTTTACTCATACTCACTTGGCGGTGGTCCACTCCGGGTCTTCGGCGGCATTTCGACGGCGGGGGGGTCCTTCAGTGCCGCGGAAGATGCGGAGCGGACCCCTCGCCGCTGAAGTGCCGAAGACCCGGACTGTCGCCGGGTATTTGAATCGGGCCCCGCAGGTCCTAAAGCCGGCCCTGCTGGTAGCTGGCTGTTCAAATTCAGCAGACAGTCACTCCACCTTTGCCCTCCACTCTGGCAGAAATTTTTCCCCATCACTTCACATATAGCATGCAGGACACAGCATATAGCTATAATCATTGGGATATTTTTCTCACCAAGGTCCCATCTTGCAAGTAAACAATGTCAGCAACCCTTCAAATGGCCAAAAGCACATTCACCTGCCGTTCTGCACTTGCTGAGCCAATAGTTGAACCGTTCCTTGGTGCTGTTGAGGTGCCTGGGGTAGGCTGGGTCACCCATGATCAGTATTGGCATTTGAATGTTCCCAGTGGTAATCTGCTGGTCAGAAAAGAGTCTTCTTGTAGCTTTCTGAACAACCCTGTGTTCTTAAATGAGTGTCATGCGCCTTCCCTGACCAGCCCACACTGATGTCAATGAAGCATCTCCAGTGATCGACCAATGTTTGCATAACCATAGAAAAGTAGCCCCCTCTGTTGATGTACAGTGGCAAGGTGCTCTAGTGCCAAAATAGGGATATGCATGCTATCTATTACTCCACCGCAGTTTGGGAATCCCATTGCTGAAAATCCATCCATCATGTTCTGCACACTGCCTAGAGTCACAGTCCTGCATAGGAGGCAGCAATTAAGGGCCACTATGGTGGATTTCCTCACTTCAAATTGCTACGGTCAGTCAGGAATCAATTTGGCATCGCAAGTTTCACAGTGCAATTGCCACTCGCTTCTCCACCATCAGTGCAGCTCTCGTTTTGGTGTCCTTGCGCTAGAGGGCTGGGGCGAGCTCAGTGCACAGATCCAGGAATGTGGTCTTGCATATTCTGCAGCCACTGCTAATCATCCCAAATCTTATGATCCCACAAGTTAGTGCTTGTTCCTTGGGCCCAGAAGCAGCGCTCCACCATCTGCAGCTGCTCCATGAATGCCAATAACTTTGAACTGGTTCTCACTATGTCCCACAGCAATCTGTCCTCCAAGGAATAGTCATGTTCCCCCACTCATTTAGTTCTTCTTGTTGCTCTGCAAATATTCCAGGATTGCGTACCCAGGGCTTGCAACGCTCATGACAACAGAGCAGAGCCGTGTAGGTTCCATGCTACTGTCAAAGATGGCAGACCGTGAGTCAATAGCAAACTGGGAAGTTGACCCCATGCTCCTAGTCACCCCTGCATGACTTATTTTAGCCCCTTCATTCATTGCCAAAACTTCCCAAAAGACATTGTGCTGGACTGCACAGTGGGATAGCTACACTGCACTCTATCAATACAAGCCCCCTAATGAGTATGTGCACCGCCGACACAAGGAGCCAAGTACACATGTGCACAAGCGATGTACTAACTGTGGTGGCAGTATGCCGACGTAACTTGAGTTGACATATGTTTGTAGTATAGACGTGGCCCTACAGTCACCCAGAAATTGAAATTAGAACTATGGGATTGTGTGCATACATATTTTCTCAATTACATTTAAAGTTTAAGACATTAAATCACAAGGAGAATTTTTGGTAATATATCTGAAGCACGGAGGTAACTAAAGACACTAGGTGACCATTTGCTATGTTACTATTTGCAGCTAATCTGTTTTTATGTTTTGTTTTGTTTTTAAAACTGTCACCAATGACATGGTTTTTTTAAACTTGCGTGCCAGCTTTAACATCCAATATGAGCCTTTGGCTATTAATGCAGGTTTGACATACCTTTAAGTCAGAAAATCATCTGATTTGATATAACCAAACTAGTCTGCTCTAATACTTAAGAGATTCCATCACAAGTACAAAGGAAGTAAATACTCCACTGATTCTTAACTAAGTTACCTAAAGGAGACTATCAAGAAATTGGGACTACGGTGGTATATCAGACCAGAGTGTTAGTGCCACTTGAATGGACAATGCCTGTGTCCTTGCTGGCCAAGCTAATGCTCTGAATGATTCATACTAAAAATAACTCATGATTTCAAATCCATTTGGCAACACTGATTTGCCTATTATACCATCGTTCCCCACATCTGGTTCTGTGGCGACACATCTAGATTGGTTTGTTGTACAGAAAAAGTCATTGACCATTGTGGAGCCTTCCTTCTCCTTCCATTCCACTTTAATAAAACCTATTTTTGTTAACTTTAAAAAGGACAAGGAATATATTGCAAAAAAGTGTTACCTAAATCTCCATGTTTAAAAAAAAATACAAAAGTTCCTAAACAAAGCAAATTCAATTTAACATGGAAATTTAGTCAAACCTATCTCAATCAGATTAAAACCTGCAATGTTCTTAGAGGACACAAACTCTATAGCTAAAATAAACACCACTGACTGTGCAGTGGAGATTACAACTGAAAGATTCACATGAAAAACTAAAATTAACAATTTTACCTTAACAGATCTATGCAAGTTTATTTCTCTATGCAATATTTTGTAAGCAGTTGTAATTAAAGCTGCAGAGATAATTTGTGGTGCATACAAATACCCTTCAATTACAACTTACACAATATCTAATATAGCAGTTTCTATAAGTAATTTTAAATAAGCATCATTTCTACACTTTTCTTTACATTGATTTAGTAAGAGAGTCTAGTTAATACATTCTGGTTTTAAAGTTTCCCTCCCCAAACCACAAGTCAAATCAATTACTTAATTTTCATTTTCTTTGAACATTTTGCTTAAGTGTTCAACTAGTGCTACAAGTTCAGGATTTCCCCCAAGTGACTCAATCTGTTTATATGCTTCAGATTCAAGCTTTTGCAGCGTTTGCCGAGTGTACTCAAAGGAACCTACATTCTCAAGGTAATGTACACAGTATTTTTTTATATCTACATTTTCTGTCCTTTGACGCAAAATATTCTGCACCTGAGTGCTTTCAGGTCTGGACCAAATAGCATGAATAGTTGGGAATGAGAACTTGCCCTCAGTTAAATCTTCGCAAAAACTCTTGTTCTCACTATATTCTTTGGAGTGTAAATTAGCATAGTCGTCTCGTATTTGGAAGAAGAGCCCAAGTGTATTAAGGAGTGGTTTTAAGTCTCTTTTATAATTGGAGAACAACTGCATGAGGCCCACAGCTAATCCAAAGAGACCACCTGTCTTTTGCAGTACCATGGCTTTATACTGTGCTTCTGTAGGACAGGTGTATGTATCTCTCCAGTAAATATCCAAACCTTGGCCCTGATGGAGTTCCAGCAGCTGACGAGTGAACACTTTCACAGCTTCTGGGTGATCAAGTGTTAAAACCTTCTGCAGACCAAGGAAATACACATAATTAGCAGAATTTATTACAGATGGAATTCCATAGATGCTATGAGCCACCGGAAAGCCCCGTCGTAGCTTTGAGTTATCTTCAATGTCATCTATGAGTAAGCTGGCATTGTGCAACATCTCTGTCACTTCAATAATAACCTAATAATATAAGAAGAGAAAAGTCTTACATTGTAAAATAAGTTCTAAATTTGTGGAATATTTTGCATTTACACTGAATTAACTGCTTATTTTTAGTTGGTCCACCTCCTCCCTCTATTGCGAGGGGCTCCCTAGAGCTCCATTATTGGCCTTCTGCATGAAAATTATTTTTGCAGCCACATCACACTGGTAGCTCACTGTCATCCTGAGATCGACCAACGCCCCCAGGTCTGTCCTCCTCTGTTGTTTTCAACTGATGTGCCTCCAGACTGTAGCAGAAATTAGACCTTAAATTCATGACCTACATTTTTGTACTATTGAATTTCATCCCATTTCTGTCACTCCAATCTTCAAGGTCATCCAGATTTTCCTGTATAACATACTGATCCTCCTTCATACTGATGAGGCCTCCCAACTTTGTATCAGCAAGTTTCATTAGTACACTCCTACCTTTTGTGCCAAGGTCATTCAGAAAAATATTGAACAAGATTGGTCTTGGAACCAATCCCTGAGGAACTCCTACTAGTAATCTCCCTCCAGAACGATAATTCACCCCTCTGTACTACCGTTGCTGTCTCCTCTTTAGCCAGGCAAGGGAGAAGTGTGGTTCCAAGCTGAGATTTTTGGAAGCAGATGAACAGTGGGAAAGCTAGTTTAAAATGGCAGAAACTGTAGAGAAAAGACACATGCTAGCATTGAGATTGTATGAAATCAGAGTACATTAGATGGGGGCATGGCCTGTAAGATAAGATGGAACCACTATTTTATGAGAGGAGACTAAGAGGTTAGCTTGTTTAGCCTAGCAAAACGAAGGCCGAGAAGGGATATGAATTGCTCTCTATAAATACATCAGGAGGTAAAAACCAGGGAAGGTGAAGAGCTATTTAAGCTAAAGAACAATAGTGCCACAAGGACAATTGGATATAAACTGACCATTAATAAATTTAGGCTGGAAATTATAAGGTTTTTAACCATCAGAAGAGTTAAGTTTCTGGAATGGCCTCCCAATAGGATTTTGGGGGGCAAACATCCTAATTAGCTTTAAGAAAGAGCTTGTCAAGCTCTAAGAGAGGGATTGTATGACAGGGATGTTCGGGGCGTGGGAGGGGGAAGGGGGGGCAGGGCTCAGCCATCCTGGGGTCCCCTTCCAGTTTAGGTCTTATGTTCCTAAAGCTCATGCTTCAGGGCTTAAGATGATCACTTGCCGGGGTCAGGAAGGGACATTCTCTCCCCTCCCCAAATGCATTTTTTGGATCTCCTTCCTCTGAAGCATCAGATGGCTACAGATGGAGATAGGACACAGGGCAGGGTGGGCCAGTGCTCTGAGATGGTATTGAGAATTCTCTCTCAGATTCTTGCTCAGAATCTGATCGCCATATGTGGGGTTGGGAAGGAAATTGTCCCCCAGGTCAGACTGGCAGTGACCTTGGTGGGTTTTTAGTCTCTACAGCTTGGGGCATAGGTAATTTGCGAGGATCATCTGGGTATCTTTCACTTAATTCCCTGCCATTGCATGGGGCTTAGGTATTGGTACATGTCAGTCTCTCCTATCCTCTTCCTGTGAACACAGTAACAGTCTCCTGAGGGTTGTAAAACTTTGGTCTAATTTCAGTTGTTGAATTTAGGTGTGTGGATGTCTGGATGGTATTAGTGGCCTATAATCTACAGGAACTCAGGCTATATGATCTGATAATTTCTTCTGGAGTTGAACTGACTATGAACACCATGGAAGGTGTTTAAAAAAAATAAAAAGCAGCAGCTTTCAACTGGATCCTGGCATAAATAAGGAGACAGTGGAATTGACAGGACAGGATTGGGTAGTGTGGAAGTGTTTCTTTGTACTAGAGAGAAAGAAGAACATAATTTTGCATATTCTGAAATCAGACAACTAGGACTTGGGGAAGCAATCGTCTAGAAGAGACTAACAGAAATGTTCATCCATCCTAACCGGTGGAGATAGAGTAGCAGTGTTCACAAGCAATGGTGCAAAGGTGATGGGTGATATGTAGACTTGGAGATGCAAGATGCAGCATTCGTGAACAAGGATGATATTTGCTGTCAAAACTTTAAGTAAGGGAACAGTTGTTTGATGGTGCTTCTTTGCTCAGAAGTGATTCTGACATTTAGCTGCCTGGTAAAGAAATTAAATGAATCCACAAATTTATTTGGTCAAGACAGCCAGTGTGGTGCCAGTGAAGAACATAAAGGTGTCAGAAGATATGTAATTTGATTGTCAGTGGCTTAAAAGTGATAGTTAAGTTAGGGGAGAGGTCAACAGTCAGGAGATTGAAGACTGCAGTGATCTGAGAAGTTAGCCTCGTAGGATCCCTTACTGGAGCCAAAGAAAGAAATGCTTAACAGAAAGAGCTGAATGCCGCGGATTGCCCCATATTACAAGGCTTCATGCAGTTAAAGTCACAATGAATTACAGAGAGGCAGCAGCTGCTCCATAGTTAAGGCTGAAGCCAGCTTTCCATTCTAAGCATGATTTTCAAGCCTACCCCTTAAAGAAAGAAAGAAAAAAAAAAAAAGAAACCCAATTCCCTGATATTTCATGTACTGTATCATCCCACTATAGACTCTCTGGAAAGTTTGGTACAAAGTCACTCAGAAGTTTGTGTTGTGGTTTTATTTCACTCATACATTGTTGTTCATTAAGTTTTTTGGCTAGATCTCGCTGATTTGAAGTTTCTGTGAACCACCTTCTACTAAGGAGTCTTAGCCTTTCCTAAATTTTAAGATGGTATCTGCAGGTTTTGTGATAACATTTCAGGATGTTATCACAATAATAAAAAAATGTGTGTATGTCTATATGCACAAAAAGTATACTACACATATTTTAAAGTTATACATTTTAATGTACTTTTCAAAACATGGATGGCCCATGGGTCGATGCTCATGAAGGGTGAAAAAGAGTAGCTGACAGGGAACTAGACAGAGTGTATGTGGGTCTGGAGTGAACGAATGCGATGAAGCCACCTGGGCACAAGTAATATTGGGAAATGGGAAAAGGAAGCCACATGGAAGAGAGAGGTTTTCTCAGAAGGAATGTGGCCTATTCCTGCATTGCTTCAGTACTTCACTGGAATCCCTGCACTGCTTGAGGGGCCTACAGGAACAATCACTGATTAAGTTGAACATTTAAAATCCAAGGATGTTGCGAGAGCTAATACAGCCTTTGTTAACTTTGAATGGAAACAAACATTGTTTCAGAAAACAAGAATACTGCCATGCTTTTATATCATCACAGGAAAATGGAAAAGAAAATAAAGATTACGCTTCAGATGTGCTGTCTCTGAAGGTAGGCAAATACATAGTTCAGGTCACCCAACCAAACTTTACTCTGTCCCTAAAATGCCACCCTCAGAACAACCAGAAACAGACTTCTTTATCCACACACTGCGTAGGAACTAGGACTGTTGATTAATCACAGTTAACTCGTGTGATTAACTAAAAAAAAAAAAATTTACTGTGATTAAAAAATTAATTGAGATAAATCGCAGTTTTAATCGCACTGCTAAACAATAGAATACCAATAGAAATTTTTTAAATATTTTTGATGTTTTTCTACATTTTCAAATATATTGATTTCAATTACAACATAGAATACAAAATGTAAAGTGCTCACTTTTATCATTTTTACCGTGCAAATATTTGTAATAAAAAATAATATAAAGAAATAGTATTTTTCAATTCACCTCATACAAGTACTGTAGTGCAATTTCTTTATCATGAAAAAGCAATTTACAAATGTAGGGTTTTTTGGTTACATAATTGCACTCAAAACCAAAACAATGTAAAACTTTAGAGCCTACAAGTCCACTCAGTACTACTTCTTGTTCAGCCAATCGCTAAGACAAACAAGTTTGTTTACATTTACGGGAGATAATGTTACCCACTTCTCATTTACAATGTCACCTGAAAGTGAGAACAGGTGTTTGCATGGCACTTTTGTAGCCGGCATTGCAAGGTACAGTATTTACATGCCAGATATGCTAAACAGTCATATGCCCCTTCATGCTTCAGCCACCATTCCAGAGCACATGCTTCCATACTGATGCATGTTAAAAAAAAAAAAGTGTTAATTAAATGTGTGATTGAACTCCTTGGGGGAGAATTGTATGTCACCTGCTCTGTTTTACCTGCATTCTGCCATATATTGTGTGTTACAGCAGTCTCTGATGATGACCCAGCACATGTTCGTTTTAAGAATGCTTTCACTGCAAATTTGACAAAACGCAAAGAAGGTACCAATGTGAGATTTCTAAAGATAGCTACAGCACTTGACCCAAGGTTTAAGAATCTGAAGTGCCTTCCAAAATCTGAGAGGGACGAGGTGTAGAGCTTGCTTTCAGAAGTCTTATAAAAACAACACTCTGATGAGGAAATTACAGAACCCGAACCACCAAAAAAGAAAATCAATCTTCTGGCAGAGACATCGGACTCAGATGATGAAAATGAGCATGCTTTGGTCTGAACTGTTTTAGATTGTTATTGAGCAGAAACAGTCATCAGCATGGATCCATGTCCTCAGAATGGTGGTCGAAGCCTGAAGGGACATATGAATCTTTACCACATCTGACACAAATATCTTGCGACCCTGGTTACAACAGTGAACTGCAAATGCCTGTTCTCACTTTCAAGTGACACTAAAGAAAAAGCAGGCAGCGTTATCTCCTGTAAATGTACACAAACTTGTTTGTTTGACCAATTGGCTGAACAAGAAGTAGGACTGAGTGAATTTATGTTTTACATTATTTTATTTTTGAATACTTGTAGGTGAACTGAAAAATAAACAAAATAAATAGTATTACAGTGCAAATATTTGCAATAAAAATATAAAGTGAGCACTGTACACTTTGTATTCTGTGTTGTAATTGAAATCAGTATATTTGAAACTGTAGAAAACATCCAAAATATTTAAATAAATGGTATTCTATTATTGCTTAACAGTGCGATTAATTTTTTTAAATCGCTTGACAGTCCTAACAAGAACCTCAACATTGAAGTACAGGAGTATGGTCACTAATGAAATCAACGTATGGACTGGCTGGATAAGACTGTCAGAAATAAGAGTTGGAGAATTGATCTCGTCAGATAATATTTGGTGAGAAGAAGCTTTTATACCTTAGATGTAGTTATTTTAGAAAAAATGCACTGCAGACTAGATTTCTGAAAAGAATGTTTGACTTGACAGAGCCACATGGCGGGGGCACACAGCCAGACACTGAGGGTTCCTGACATATAGTCAGAAGTGACACCCGCCAGGAACTGAATATTAGGTGGAAGAACCCTGACCCCTGGTTCAGTGCGTCTGACTAGGGTGTGCTGGTGACCATCCATCTCTGCACTGAGAGGCAACATGATCATCATCTAGATGCTTTGCTCAAAACTGGCACACAACAAACAACTGATTAGTTATTGAAGACTTCATACAGCCATTGGCTTGTGATTTTGACATGGGAAATATCAAGCAATAAATGGCCCTTTCCCAACCCACTGTGCTTAATGTATGATTTGCAGAGCAATTGGCTAGTTTCTCAGACTGGTCACTGAAAGTGCTGTGTTAAGGGATCAAGAGGAGGACAGTGATAGCTGTTCAATTACAACCTTTAAGGATAAACAGGTTAAATACACATTTTGGAGAAACACGTTACACACAAAAAAGTAAAATTTTGAGTAATGTTAATAAGCAGATGTTTTCCTTTTTATGAACATTAAATTCACAAGGCTGCAAGGCATAGGAAACTGCTTTCCAACAAGCCAAACCACCTTCTGCAAAAAATAAATGGAAGAGTTCGGGATTCATCAGTATTCGATGCTATCTAAACTAAGGGAATCAGTCATCTGTATCTCTTATAGTTTTAAAAATACCTCCTTTTTTAACCAATACAGAGAAAGTGACTGGTACCTGTATTTTATCTTCTGGAACATTCAGCCAGTGATTAAAGGCCTGTGACAGTTTGGTTCTCACTTGTTTACCTGTAAAAAAAGGTTTAAATATTGAGGAAGGAAATTCCATAAGATCAAATAGACAAAAAGTCAAATACCGGTACAATAATTCCATGCCTCTATTTCTAACAATTACCACCCACCACTATAAGAACAACTGGTTCAATAAGAACAAAAGTTGATCAGTAACAATGTCCCCAATGAGTTTTGACTTAAGTTGGCAGATTATAATAGCTTAAGTACTGCAGGAAGTGGGAAAAGGTGGACTGCTTCCATAACATATAGAATAAGCAGCATCTTGCTTAGTCATATCAGTGGCCTCACGTTAAACATCTCATGGTGCTATCTAGAAACAATGCTACACTACATATTGCTATCAGTTACAGTAAGTTATATTTAGACGTTGCTGTAATTAAATTGGTAAAATAGTTTATCGTTGACCATGGTGGATGAAGGGCAGACTGCAAGTCTGTAGTTTATATAAATCTGACAGCAACTGACAAATTTTATAAACCTAAATTTGTCAACATTAAAGGACTTTTTTGGGGTATGTAACAAGAGTTATAAAACAAGGTTTCAGAGTCAGATCAATCATTTAACTATCAAACATCTGATCTGCTAGTGCACTGATCTCATGTTTTATTTATTGATCATCCCTTCATTTGCAGCTGGTCCTCCCACAATATACCAGTCTTATTTTTCCCCTGGGCTAACTGCCATCATAGCAGTCTGTATTCCAGCCAGGACAACAAAAGTGGAATCTGACTTATTTCCGTTTCTGCATCGCATTGGAAATCCACTAACTAGTTCAAGGTTGGCAACAGAAAGGTAAGCAACTGGGCAGCAGAAATAGTCTGACAGAGCCAATACCAAAGAGATCCTTAATACACATTTTGAACAGAAGGGAAATTTTTTTCAGAAGTTTTATAAAACTATTTGTTCTGGAAACCTCTCCCAAAAAACACTAATAGTAATACTTGATTCTCAGAATTCACTAACCAAAATAGAGCAAGCAATCACCTTTTTCTGAGAAAGAGGAAAGACAGAAGATTTAGAGTCCAAATTTCACTTTTAGAGGAGCCAAGCTAATAATCATTCTAACTTCTGTTTTAACACAAAGTAGGAAAAATTAAATTTTAATTAGTTTAATGCATATTAATATGCATATGCCTATAAATTTTTTGGAATGAATAGCAACTGCCAGATCAATTAGGGAGAACACTAAAACAGATATCTTAATACGAACATAGAGTTCAGGTTATCCTGAGCTCAGCTTCCTGATGGAACAATTTCAAAATCATATTAAGTCAAGCATCTCTGTAAATACAGCTCTTACTAAGAGTTCCTGTGAAAATAGCTTTATACAAACCACAAAGCTGGGCATGCCAGAATCAGGTTTCAGACTGTTTTTACCCTATTCCTTGCAGAGCAAAATTAAAGAACTTGAAACAGATCAATTTCACATGACTAAATTAGTTTTGGGGACAATGACCAACCTCTGAGCATCCTGCAAGTGTTTTAAAGTTTGACTGTTTAAGTTAAAGCTTTCAGAGTGATAGCTGTGTTAGTCTGTGAATCTGTAGTTTTAAGAACGCTGGATAGAGATCTTGTAGGTGTTTGTCTCTGTCTGAGGGATTGGAGCAAATACTCACCTGCTGAAGTGAAAAAACAGATTGACAGAGCCAGAAGAATACCTACTCCAGGACAGGCCCAACAAAGAAAGTAACAGAACGCCACTAGCCATCACCTTCAGCCCCCAACTAAAACCTCTCCAGCGCATCATCGAGGATCTACAACCTATCCTAAAGAATGATCCCTCACGCTCACAGATCTTGGGAGACAGGCCAGTCCTCGCTTACAGACACCCCCCAACCTGAAGCAAATACTCACCAGCAACCACACCCCACACAACAAAAACACTAACCCAGGAACCTATCCCTGCAACAAAGCCCGTTGCCAACTCTGTCTACATATCTATTCAAGGGATGCCATCATAGGACCTAATCACATCAGCCACACCATCAGAGGCTTGTTCACCTGCACATCTACCAATGTGATATATGCCATCATGTGCCAGCAATGCCCCTCTGCCATGTACACTGGCCAAACCGGACAGTCTCTACGCAAAAGAATAAATGGACACAAATCAGACGTCAAGAATTATAACATTCAAAAACCAGTCGGAGAACACTTCAACCTCCCTGGGAACTCAATTACAGACCTAAAAGTCGCAATTCTCCAACAAGAAAACTTCAAAACAGACTCCAACGAGAAACTGCAGAACTGGAATTAATTTGCAAATTGGACACCATTAAATAAGGCTTGAATAAAGACTGGGAGTGGATGGGTCTTTACTCAAAGTAAAAACTATTTTCCCATGCTAATTTTTCCCCTACTGTTACTCAAACCTTCTTGTCAACTGTTTGAAATGGGCGATCCTGATTATCATTACAAAAGTTTTTTTTCTCCTGCTGATAATATCCCACCTTAATTGATTAGTCTCGTTAGAGTTGGTATGGCAACACCCATTTTTTCATGTTCTCTATGTATATATATCTTCCACTGCATGCATCCGATGAAGTGGGTTCTCGCCCACGAAAGCTTATGCTCAAATAAATTTGTTAGTCTCTAAGGTGCCACAAGTACTCCTCGTTCTTTAAGTTAAAGAGCGTCTCTCCAATTGCTCTGTGAAGGACCTACCCAGAACAGGGAGTACGAACAGCATGGGGCACTGGGAATTTGCACGAGGGGGTCAAAGCCCCTTGCAGTGCATGCACTCCCAGGAGGCAAAGGTCAGCCACCCCTTTCTTTAAAGACCCAGCTGCTCTTGGCTCTTTTACTCCCATGGAAGATGGGAGGACGTTGGGTATGACAAAGTTCACTGTGCCTACCAGCCCTCCCAGGCTAGCCTGTGCTGGTGGGGGGGTAATCTCAGTTGTCTTCCCAGCAGGCAGAGGGCAATCTGTGCTGTTTTTTCAGCCTATCTGCTCCAGGTCACAGATTTTGTGGGGGAGTTGGTCTGAGGATCCCTACAGGATGCCTCTTCCAAACTCAACTCACATGTTCCAAGTTTCCAGGTAAGCAACCCTGCTTCCCTGTCTCGGCCTAGCTACTCCCACTGTCCTGTCTCTTCAGGAGACTAGGAATCCCCATTACCTCCTGTCCCCTGCTCCTCCTGATTCCTCTTATGTGTGTGGTCCCTCCCAGTCCCCACACTGCCTCTCCTCTGCTGGGGGAGACCAGTGAGGGGTGCTGCCTCCCCTTCCCCACCTGGCTGTTTCACGGATTTATTTTTTTTTAATTCAGAGGAGAGAGGCTTCTACTTTCCCCTCCAAATCCACTGTCTCTTGGCTTCTTGACCTGTTCTGTGGTGGGGTCTTACTCAAGGTAATCTACCCTTCAGGGGGGCTTGCTCTCCTCCAAACTATCTCTGGAACCTGTTGATGAGCACAGGGGCAAAGCACTAAACAAAGTGCCCCATATCCATGTTGAGGGTTCTAGGGAGCAAAGAGAGGAGTTCTCTCTCCATCCTGTGCAGAGATCCGGGAAAATAACATCCTTCTGGTCCCAAACTTCAAAACAGCAGCAGCTAAAAGCTACCATGGTACTCACGCTGCAGAACCTGGAGAATAGCATACAGATAAGTTCTCTTCAGAGCAGTTCACAAAAGTAATCATCTTTCATATTGAAATAGGAACATTTACAAGGTAATCGAAAGGTCTGAAATCCATTTGAGGGCTTCAGGAGATGCTATAGCTCCTGTAAATGAAAAGGTGGGGCACTTGGTTCACAGTGTTTGACAGTTTGGAGGTCTCCGCATTCATGCTGTGGCAAATCCTTGATTCTTCTTTAGTGCAGCAGATGCACGCAATCCATGTAACGTCCCAATACGGCTGATAGTCATCCATTGTCTTTAGCAGAGCAAGAAACCAGGAGAGGTTTAAAGAAACCAGGATCATCTTCATGATGTATGTTATTTATGTCAGAGCCTGCCCATTGCATCTGCCAGGGTTGAAGTTGATAACAGAAGAGCTTCTCTAGATGCTCAGAATGGTCAGAGGGGCTTAAGACAAGTGTGAGGCAGGTGAAAAAAAGTGTGAGGTCATGGAGTGGGAGCTGTGGTTAGTAACAGCTTTCTTGTACTTATGCAACATATTCCTCTCTCATTGGCTGGTTGGAGGAAGGATGTTTGTGAGGACTGGAAACCAAGGCAGTACAATGGACTTCAGGGTACCAGTTACAAGTCTGAGACATTTAGTTGGATATCAACAAGGTCTATGCAAGCTTTTTCCCTGAACAGGTACACAGTACTTAGCCGTGGAATAAACTGATCCCGTGGGAGGCCATTGTACAGACTCTGCTTTTTGCCAACCTGACTGCTGATGGAAATGGAACGTTCTGTCCAAAAACACTGACCTAATGAATCAAAACATCTGGTTGCACTGAAGAGGTTGGATCGCTTCAGCAGAGCCCCTTATGCGAGATAGTGTCACAGGCTGATGACAAGTTGCAGCTGTTTTAAGCTTCTGCTGAAAGCTGGCCTCAATATGTGTAGTCAGTGCAAACAACTGGTCACAGCAGCTTTGCCCTGCCCTGAAACCTGCCTATGCTGGGGGAACCATAGTCTGCCTCGCCAGGATTGCTCACGCCAGTAATTTCTCTCTCCTCTGTACAACATACATAGGGCAATAGCTTTTGGGGTTACTGAATGGTTTTCCAGGTGTGACATTGTGTAATTAAAATATAATCATCCAAATCATTATTTCTACCATTGTTATATACTTGCAACGAATCTTATGAAGAGTGTAACACGTGGCCAGAAAGGGTTAAGCATCCTGCAGGCTAATTAACCCACAGTCAGCCTGTAGAAACATGTTAGAAATGGTAATTAAGGCTACTCAAGGCTAGATAGGCTAGAACTTTGAAATGCAAACCTGTATTGTTAAAGAATTAGAGGTTATACTAATTGTGTGTATCTTAGAGGATAGCCATGTAAACAGACATTTTCTGTCTGTCACTATCACTATTAA